TTGTCATCTATGACGTCTTTACTTGCCAAAGTCTGCTTGAACCATGCAGCCTCATTCAAGCCCAATATAACCCCTATGGACTCAAACTCAATCAAGTGCCTTCAATCATGTGGCTACAAGGTATTCTCTTTATTTGGTGACCTTCAGACTGTAGGACTGACTGTAGCAGTGCTCAGAACATCCCACCGTAACTATATATGTCTTCCACAACCCATACAAAGATGTACAGTTAGTCCAAAGAACGCTCATGATTTATCTCTGGTTGAATTTGTTAAACTGGTGGAATATATTCAAAATCAAACCATCCTATAATTTCAGGCTTATAAGTAAAGGTGTGTCTTAAATTTCTCAGCCTGAAATCTGTCCATGTCCAAAGCAAGTTTTATTTCTCACTCATGTCATTCTGCTGAAGATGATTTATAGTATTTTCCCACCAAGCCCCAAAAAGCTGAGGGGAGAATTGTAAGTAATAACTTGAAAATGAAATTACCCACTTTGAGCTTTTGAATTCGCTGCTGCATTCAATACTGTAGTTTCTTCAAAACTATTCTGGGTGTTTAATGTGGCCCCTGGCATTTTCAGATGCAGGCTGTATTCTTCCACTATACCCAGTGGTGGGGTTGCTCAGTGGGAAAAATTTCTACTGAGTAACCATTCAGCAGCAAACACTGAAATCTTCGATGACCCCGGGTGGGGAGGCACCAGTGCCAACATAATGTGCTTTGTAGCTCTATAACCAGTGACATAAAACAGTTTTTTTTTTTATGGCAACGCAGCTGTTTTTGAAATGTTAAAAAACCTCAGAAGGAAGTCTCCCAACATGAGGGCCTTTTTTTATATCTGTCCTCAAAAGTAATGTGGATGCATGAAAATGTTATCTAGGGCTGGATACTGTCAGTTGGACATATTATATTTACATCACCTGGTTAGTAACATGTCCCCCCATTGGTTATGTATAACCTCACACTTCTTAATCTTAATCATTCACTTTAAGAATGAAAATCCTATTCATAGCTTCCTGTATCAATTGTACATTAATACATCTTTCAGATAAATATTAGCTGCAACAAATAGAGCATGAAGAGGTCTGGTTATGTGTTTACATTTACATAATAACGGATGCATCCTGTCTTTTATAACCTGTTTATTATTCAGACAGCTGAGATTTATCAAAGGCATGGC